GGGGGGGGGGGTACAGTGACAAGTCAGATACAGGCGGCTGGGGGTGACGATCGTACGATGCGACATCATACTGCCGGGAGACAAGTCCCGTCGTTAAAACGCGAGATGCCGCGAGCGCGAAAGCATAGCAACAAGAGTCAGAGGAAACAGGACCGGATTGCTCTACGAACTCGTGAAAAAAACACCAACAAACAGACCACCTTTGCCTCCTACGCGGAGGTATTTTTTCCGCGCAAGCACGTTGACAAACACACCGCTGCAAAAATGCGGAGCACGGCGGTCTAGTGTAGGGGCGGGGACAAAAAAACTGACCAATTAACCACCACTCACAGGTCGATGTTTTTGATCTTGAAGTCGATGCCAATTGTGGTAATGAACGTCTGAGAGAATGAGTCGTTCGCATAGCGCAGCAACAGGCACGTCTTACCCACGCCTATCAGCAAGGGTGGCAAATCGGGGGCAGGGGGGCAGGGGCGCAAAAAAGGGGGGGATCAATTGATACCACCAGCGGGAACATCAGTCTGGCGGATTGTACAGCTTGATCAATACCAGCGGAGCGTCAGATGTTGAGATCGTACCTTGGGTTAAGTGAACATGCACGTAGCCATACGAGAGTGAGCGGGCCAATTCCCAGCAAACCTGGTGTATTGTCACACATGCATCGGCATACACTTCGGCCCGAGCCTCGTTCCAAAAGCTGCAGCTAGTAAGCAAAGCACCTCAAATCAATACATCCATCGGATCAGGTTGCCTTCCCCCATGGTTCGTGCCGAGTGTATACAGCAGTAGTCGTAGTTTAGGAAACCCAAAGACTTAAGCGGTTCCTTGGTTCTAGGAGAGGAGATCAGAACCTGGTGGCCTGCTTGTAAGACAAATGGCTATTCAGGTGTTACACGGACCGACGGGCTACCGCAGTAGGGGCGTGTACGAACGTCCATTTGCTGCACAGGGAACAGGGAACAGGGAACTTGGAAATATTGTCTGATTGGCCAGATGCACAAGATAACTTTCCTGCAAACAAGAATTGACTCACGCATTCCCTATTTTGAGGGAGTTGCGCCGCACCATGAGCCACACATAATAACTTTCTTGGAAAGAAGAATTGACACACACGTTATCTGTTTTAGGGTAGCTACGTCGCACCATAATTATAATACCCGCGGGTATCAAAATTAGCCAACAGACCACAGGGAACGTGGAACACGGGCTCTTCGGTGGCAATTCAGGGCGTGGTGGCAGCCACACGTGCTGCCAAGCCGTATAGGCATTCCCAGCATCATCAGGTGTCTTGCATGCAATTAAGCGGCGGCCAATGCTCGTGTAGCCGTTGTATGGGGTGGGAGAGCAGAAGTTGTCGAAGAATGGTAAGCTGCCGATGACCACAACTCAAAAAGCAAGTCTTCCAGAGCACTCTCGAGGGTGCGGATTGCATGACGAGCACCGGCTTTTCTAACCGATACGTAACACATGTGTTTCATGTGCGCTCGTCAACAGCTTGCTTCGAAAACTACCCCACTCCTCCTTCCTCTACCCCCCACTCGTGTCGTCTTTCTGTATCCAATGGTTGTATTTGTTGCCTTTGAGTGCCTGCGGCCGCGCTCGTTCCTTGAACTGTTCCGGGTTTCCTGGAGATGTGTATGTTAGGACACAACACGAAACAGGGAACAGGGAACTCGGAGTTCCCTGTTCCCTGTGTTCCCTGTCCAGCAAAGGGTCATTAATAGTACACGCCCCTCAGTCCTAACACTCGATATAATTACCAAATAATGAAACAAATACGCCAGACAACAAACACAAACAACACCAACGAGAGCAATATACACAGGAAAAATGTTGTCGGGGGAGTACTCATAGTCGTGCATGCCGTAGTCGTTAGACCATTGACCTCGCATCCCTACAAAGCCGGGACGGAGCACGCCGGGTTCTCACCGGACCAGGCTCTCACATCACCAAGCGCGAAGCGCCGTGAGATATTCGGCGAGTCGCATGAAGGGTGCGCTGCATCCTGCTAAGGGTGTTCGGCATCTTGTGCTTACTTCCTTGCGTACGGATGACAGCTGCGTACGACTTAATTTACTTTCTGGTGCTTCACTTCCAGAGACAGTTGTAAGCACTGTGTGACTGCCTCGAGGGTGCTTGACCATTGTAACACAACGTGGTGCAATCATCCCCCTTGCGCAGAGTGAGGGTTCTCGACCCCGCACAACATGATCCACTCGACCACCATAATGGTTATCACCAATAATAAAACAGAGGTACAAACAAAACGGTAACCTGGTTGCCGAGTTCACGAAGTGAATTGGCTTGTTTTACAACGTTGCCAAGCGACGAAAACCCAATCCCGACGGCAAACACCGAGGGGAGGGCTGAAGGGGGTGTACTCATCCTCATAGTCCTGCATACCGTAGTCGTTCGACCGTTGAACTCTCATCCTTACCAAGCCGGGACAGAGCACGCCGGGTCCTCATCGGACCAGGCTTTCACATCACCAAGCGCGAAGCGACGTGAGGTATTCCGCGAGTCAAGGACATTCGGCATCTTGTGCGTACTTCCTTGCGTACGGATGACAGCTGCGTATGACTTGATTTATTTTGTGGTGCTTTCACTTCCAGAGACCGTTATGAGTACTGCTGTGTAACTGCCTCGAGGGTGCTTTACCATTTTAACACAACGTGGTGCGATCATCCCCCTTGCGCGGAGTGCGGGTTCTCGACCCCGCACAACACAATCTTCTCAACCACCATCATGGTTACATACCGCGAAAACAACACATGCGAATTAGAAAAGCGGTAACCTGGGAAGGGGGACGGGGGGGGTGGAGCGAACAACGGCCTTACACGCACCGTAGATTCCTTTTCACACGCCGGAGTAGCGCGTAAAGCAACAGCAGACAAGACGACTCACCGCTGTCTCCGATCATAAGCAGCTTGATTTGCATATCGAACGGGCTGTCATTTCGGGACATCTTCGCGAGAGCGCCTGCTGTGTGCCCCGCACCCTAGCTAAGGCTGGCTTCCAACCGCTAGTGTTCGCCCTTTATTCCTGCTGTCGACAATAAAAGTGAGAACGTTGTTAAGCGTGCGGTACGGATAGTTGATGTACAACACATTAATGCTGTTTCGGAAGGTGCCATGAGTCCACAACACGAACAGGCGCTATTGGACAACATACGTTACGGTGTGATGATGCAGCCCTGCGCGTCAACTCGATAGACACAATCTCGAGACCTAGTGATACGTCACGAAAAGAAGTCTCGGACGGGGAGGGAAGCCGATATAGGAACGTCCTGACGAGGAGAAAACCCACAGCGGTGCTGCCCCTGACCAGCAGGTATGAGGACGGGTCATGTACAAGTGAGAGAATGTTGTGGAAGCTGCCCGCCCGCGGAAAGAAGAATGGTTGTTGCACGCGACACCGCGAAGAACACAACGTGATTTCTCTCTCTACCCACCCTGTTTATAACTTCTCTCTACGCCTTCAGACACGACTGCTGTACTTGCTAGAGGTAGCAGCTTCGCAACAGCAGAGAGACAGCAGCGTGTCGTGGCCGGAGTTGAACCCTTTCCAGCAAACGCTTCACTCGGTGTCGCGCGGTTCACAAAACTTTTCGACACACACACAGAAAACGGAATGACACCACACCGGATCGAAGACTGACCTCTCTCTCTGAAGTTCCACTTTCTCCGAGCTACCTCCGGGAAGTTGTCTCTACGGTCTTCCTTTTGTTGCAGCTGTGTGCACCTCCCCTTTGTTCTCCTTGGTCTTTTGGCTCTTGTTACTCTGTCTGTTGTTTGTTTTGCGTTCTCTTTCCTTCTCTCTCTTCGGCTTCGCTGCTCCGCGCGCCCGCCATACCGGGGGGTACGCAAATGATACACATATTGGGTACAATGTAGCGGCTGGGTATTTTCTTTTGACCCCCGCCAAGTTGGTCAAAGGAATGAGGGTCAGGCACACAGCAGACATGTGTACCACAGCCTGTCGCAAAAAACAGGTTCTTGGTTCGTCCCTCCACCTCTCTCTCTTCTCTCAATATGACGCAGTACAATCGGTATTCCTCTCCCGTCCTGTGTACCCTGATGCCCGGTCTACCTTCGTCGTGTCAATTTGTGCAAAAACATCAAGAACATCAAGAATCCCTGCCATCTCTCCGAGACCGAAGAGGAATGTATCGCACCGCGCTTGCTCGTCACCTACATTTGCGGGATGAATGATGAATGTGTGATGAGTGATCCTTTTTACAGAAGTAAGATGCCACCCGCGCTCCCTTTCTTTCTTTCCGCAAAACAAAGATCGAACGAACGGAGGGTTCACGAATCCCCCATCATCACAGATGTGAAAGTGCACTTCTTAAATCAATGTGGTGTAAAACGGCAGCAGCTGCTTGTAGTGCTGTACAGCAGTAGTGGAGAAGAAGAAGTCCCTTCCACATGTCCCGGGCGGCGCACGGGCAGGTTTAGTACAGTACAATACTGCCAGTATTTTCAGTATTGCAGTACCTTTGGCCATAATATACTGTACTGCACGCTTTAGTACAGCTTTCGATACTGGAATAAAAATACTGCACGCTTTAGTACAGCTTTCGATACTGGAATAAAAATACTGCAC